AGTTAGTTGACACTGCAAATTGTTAAGAAATAATAATAAAATATCATGCATTACAAAGAGATATTCTGATATGTCAAGTTCACCATTACATGGTTGACGTACTGTGTGATGTTCATTGCACAACTGAGAGCAATTGCTGTCCAGAACGCGAAGCCAGTCTTAACATGCCTGGCACTTTTTTCTCTCCAACCCTTGTCTAGGTGTGGCATTCACCTTGAACTTGGCTGGCTGGAGGACCACGCCAAACTTGCCCTCCAGACTGGGCAGAGAGTGGCCTGATGGGACAGAGAGGGTGAAGTGCTGTAGGATCCAAGACAGGAAGAGGAAGAGCTCCATCTTGGCCAAGGCTTCACCCAGACAGACTCTGACCCCTGCACCAAACGGCAGGTAGCTAGACGACGGAATAATCAGACTTGTGCCATCATTGTTTAAGAACCGACCTGCAGAGGGAGAATTCTGGGGTTAGTGTTGATGTTCTTGGAGTTGAGATCATCATATTTTAGATATGTGTAAGAAATACTTAATTGTCTAAGAATCATGCATCAGTACTATCTTGCAGGGGCAGCTATTAAAGGCATTTAGGTATTCATAGCTGGTTTTATTTGTCCAGGATTTGACATCTGCCTTCACCCAGTCACAGAGATGAATGGAACTAAGACCTCAACTCGTTTTTCCAGAGACAATGGCTTCAGTAAGTGAAGTTTGGATTGTCTTGAGCAATTAGGTTTTTTTGTTTGTAGAGACACATAGCTTTTGCTGTTTCAGCATTGTAAGCAGCACAAATAAAATGTCATTCTGTTAAGTTGTATTGGGAAACACTATCAAAATTAACTCAACTAAACACGTTTTAGAGGTTCATATTCGTCTTTTCACCCAGAATTAAAATCTTTTTAGGATTCATATATGTTTTACTGCATTTAGACCATTAAGGGTGATAAGGATAAAACCATGTCTTTAATATCAATAACAGTGGCAAGATATTGCTTCTTTGTTTGTATAATCATTAATCTGATTCTTTATTGACTTCAGTAAAACATCAAACAGATTTAATTATCTGCCAAAGTCAGAATAGCAATAACTACTGGCTCCAAATATGCCAATTAACTTAAGTTCATCATATTGCAGGGTAAAAAAAATATGGCACAATAAACAGAAGATTCCTCTCACCAGGGTCAAAGAGCTCAGGGTTTTTCCATTCCTTCTCATCATGGTGCAGAGACCACAGGTTGATGATGACTCGAGTTCCTTTCCTCACAGTGAAGTCCCCAATGCTACAGAGCAGCACAGAGATAGAGGACAAGCTAATAGAGTTCTCTCAGACTGAATGTCAACATGTTTGAAAAGAAATCTTCATGGGAACAAGGTCATGGGCAATATCTTCCAGAATCCACCTCATGTCAGCACAACATAACAACATTACATGCTTTATTGATTGGTTTATGGTCAGGGGCCCTTATTTATGACCCCATTTGTATCTACACCACTTTTCACACACAAGCTGGGATCTATAAAAACAAACTTGGTGAGGGAGTGTGTGCACTTGTTTGTTAACTCAAAACATTAAACCAGCAGTGTTATTTTTGCTCCTGCAACATAACTGTTCCAAAAGGAAAAA